TAGGATTCTGTGCCTGAACCAGAGACATGAGATAAATTTCCTTTTGTACTTGTGTAAATTTGAATTAGGGATTCTGTCACTTGTAGCCAAAAGAATCTTAAATGATGCATCCTCTCTGAATCTGGATATCTGAACCTTTAGAATGAGGATGTTTCTCAATGGAGGCACTAATGGCATTTGGTGAGACAATTCTTTATTGTGCACACTGTTCTGAACATTCCTTTTTGCTCCTGCCCACAAAATGCCAGAGCACCCTTCAGTAATTATGGCAACCCAAAATCCCCACCACCCATCCCACTAGACATATACACCACACACACACACACACACACACACCCCTCAATGCCCCCTAGGGGCATGTACTCCCCCCATTTGGGAACAAATCAACTAGAAAATCTGAGGCCTCTTTTAACAAAGGTGAAATTAGCCATATAATATACCAGAAGTCAAATTCCCTAGGGTCTAGTGTTACATCAACTGAGAATAAGTTAGTCTCTATGTTCACTTATTTTAAAAATGAGGGCACTAATATATAGCTATATGGATGGGTAAACCTATGAAAGGACCACTTGTGATAAATTACTCATTTCAATAACTCTAGCATAACCTCAGATGGATTCTTCACATTCCCAAGGGAAATATCCTAAACACTTTTGAGTAACATTACAGCTTATAATTTATCCCCTCAGAAAACATTTTTTAAAAATCAAGAAGTTTTTAAAGGATCTTTTCATACTCTTAATTCACCTATCAATAAAGAATCAAAATACTTATAAAGCTACTCTGTATTTTTCTAGACCTCTTCAATTACATCTCCAGCCAGAGAGATTGGCTTAGAAGGCCTGGGGAGTGCTGGGGAGTCAGTTTTTTTTCCAAACAAGTGGCTTTTATTGCTTCCCAAGTGTTAACTGCGTGGATGATTAGAGAACAGTGAAACTGATGGCTGGTAGTCAGCTAAACTCACTTACTTCTCCAGCCGAACTGAGCTTGAATAATTTATTACATGTCATTCTTTGTTATCTGAAACCACAAATGTTAAATCCCCGAATGCCAAGGACCTCTTGTGCCCCAAGGTGCTCTGTCAATGAAAGAGAATAAAGGTTTCGGTGCTGTTCATAATGTATTGGCTGTACAGTCTATTTTTCACATTACCTTTGTAATCTTTGTGAGTTTTCTGGGTTTGGATTTGTTTTGTTTTGTTTTGTTTTAAACCATGGTGTGTGTTTTGTTTGTTTGTTTCTCTTCTTGCCAATTGTGTGCTGTTAATATTAATACTCCAACAAATGGTCTAAACTATCCACTGGCAAATTTGGAGATGTCAGAAAGTGGGCTACATTCCATGTGTTGCCTTTGAAATATGAGCACAGCGACATGACTTCACATTGCGTGAGCACACCAACCAAACTCAGGCAGAAGGCTACAGCCACGACACAGACGGTTCTTTCATCTCAGCCCTCTTCAAAACCACCATGAATTATTGTGTTGGATCTAGTGCCAAGATCCTGGGGCCAATTTCCACGTTTAGGAGGATGTGAGGGGTATCTTACACCACCCTACTGGCTCACCCAGCTACCGGCCTCTCCTCTCCACCTCAGCCTTTCTGCAAAACATGGAGGTAGCTGCACACTCGGGTGCCCCTCGCAACAAAGCAGTGCTTTGACTATTTGAAGATGTACCAGGGAAGTCAGAGAAGTGAGACAGCGGGGAGAAGTAAGGGGAGGCAGTTAAACCACTTCAAAACTACTTGTAGGACTTCAGACTACAGAGAACGTAGTGACCCCCAAACTCAGAGTGAAACCTCACTCTTTCGTACATTCATTCATCTTAGAAGCCAGAAATTGGTGAGAAGGCTGGCTGTGAAAGCACAGCCCCAGACCTTCATGAAAAGCAAATGTAAGTAATTTCCTCAATTTATCCGTGTGAGCTGAGCTTTGCATGACTCTGGCTGCCACAAATTGTCTCCCTCATCTTCTCTTTGTGTCCTTTGTTCCCACACCATCATTCCTCAGATTTAGGGCTTGCAGAGAAATGAGATTTCATTTTCAGCAGAAGATACCATGGCCAAGCCTCATGTGGGGCTGTCTGTACATCAGAGAAATGGAAGTGTCTTGTGTTTTGCCTGCTCCCCTTGTCCCCTCACCCCCCGCCCTTTATAATAAGTAATCGTGTCCAGCTGGGCCAAGTTGACTGAGCGAATGTTGGGTGTTCGTGTGATTTTGCTGCAGTGCCACAATGAATGTACCTCTTTGATGGAAGAAAGAAGGTCCATGGTATAAACAGTTTAAAGGTTTGGAGTTGGAGCTGGAAACATGGGTTGCTTTGTTCTTAGGACAACTGCTTCCCCATCTAAAACATGTCTCCATCTTAAATGATCTTTTTCTTTTCAAGCCACAAGCCTCAAGCTACAACAACAGGCTCATGATCCATTTTTTAATGCCAAGGTTATGAATACTCTTTTTATGAATATTCTCCTTTGAAGTCATTTCTCTTGAAAAAGAAAAAAATAGCCCTATGTATTGCAGAGTGGATAGTAATAGACAAAACCATACCAATTGTTTTCTTAGGGGTAATGCAATGCTCCAAAATTCACATAGAAAAATTCCAAATACAACATAATATTTATGGAATTCTGCCTTCACAGCTATAATTTTTTAAAGTAATATTTCTGGCTGGCATGTATTATACAGAATATATTTCAGAGACTAATATCAAGATTCATATCTTAAAATGTTTCCCCCTGTGGCATCATGATCGCCTTCCTCATATTATTGCAAACTCTCAGTGAACAGAATTTTAGGATGTGCCATTTGGAAGGAAGGAAACCTGCACTGGGGTAAGCTGCTTATGTTTTTATTTTTCCCTTTATCTCATTTCAACATATCCTCCAACTTCCTCCTCTAAAAATAATTCAACTAATGCCAGCTCAACAGATTATAGTAGATCTCCTATTAATTTCATTCTGCTTCAAAAGGAACTTATTATTTAGGCTTATAATTATATATGTATACATATGTGTGTGTGTATTAATGTTAACTGATGTTTAGGTTCCTTATTAAAACTTCTTTTCAGCCCTAACCAGTTTGGTTCAGTGGATAGAGCATCAGCCTGTGGACTGAAAGGTCCCAGGTTCGATTCTGGTCAAGGGCATGTACGTTGGTTGTGGGCACATCCCCAGTAGGAGGTGTGCAGGAGGCAGCTGATCAATGTTTCTCTCTCATCAATGTTTCTACCTCTCTATCCCTCTCTCTTCCTCTCTGTAAAAAATCCCCCCAAAAAAATATGTTTAAAAAAAGAGTCCCTGACTTTGAAGATTTATGCTAAAAAACAAAAAAACTTCTTTTTATTCTGTTTCAATATCATCAGTTAAATAATTTCTTTCCTGGTGTTTAAAAAAAAAAAAAGTGTTTCTCTGAACCCCTTTCAAATGTTTTATCTTATCCAAAGTTAATCCAGAAAAGTCAGCCTCCCTTAATCCTGCTTCGTGGCTTAGATTCTTTAGCTCTGGAAGCACTCATGCTGATTTCTGTTTTACCCATGCTGATGTCAAAACAACCTTTGCTGTGGCAGAAAAATAATCCCCAATGCCTCTGAAGCCTAATGTTGTCAGCTGAACCATGGCAACAGTGCTTTGTGAATGCTCTCCCAGACTGAGTGACCTATAGTACAACATCAAGGTACAACTGTTGTTTTGCACTTGGCATTGAGAATATTCTGCAAAGTTGTTTCCATGTAAAAAGGAAGCACTCTACAGTGGTTCAAGGCATGAGCCTTGGGTTCAAATCCCACCGTTGCCACTTATTCTCTGCGTGATCTTGAAGAAGAACATTTAGCTACCCTGAGCATCGTAAAATAGGGTTAATAATACCACCTACTTCTTAGGATTGTTGTGAGGATTAAGTTGGTAAAAACATATAAAGGATGTATGATTGTCTGACATAGACAGTACTCAATGTTAGCTCATACTATTATTTAACTTACAAAGGCATAACATCTTTTACATAATTTCAGAGGCCAATATGTAAAATAAAAAGAAATCCTAGAAAATCTAATTCTGTAAAATTTATAAACATGAAATTACAGATAATGTTATACATGTATATATATGATTATATAATTCTGACTATCCTTTTTTATAATTACTAGAGGCCCAGTGCACAAAAATTTGTGCACTCAGGGGGGTCCCTCAGCCCGGCCTGTGCTCTCTCGCAGTCTGGGACCCCTCAGGGGATGTCCGCCTGCTGGCTTAGGCCCGCTCCCCAGGGGATTGGGCCTAAGCTGGTGTCAGACAGCCCTCTGGCAGCCCAGGAGCCCTCGGGGGATGTCCACTTGCCAGCGGGGAGTAGGCCTAAGCTGCAGTCGGACATCCTTAGCGCTGCTGAGGAGGCAGGAGAAGCTCCCGCCACCACTGCTGTACTGGCAGCCGTCAGCCTAGCTTGTGGCTGAGCAGAGCTCCCTCTGTGGGAGCACACTGACCACCAGGGGGAATCTCCTGCATTGAGCGTCTGCCCCCTGGTGGTCAGTGTGTGTCATAGTGACCAGTCATTCTGCTGTTAGGGTCAATTTGTATATTACCCTTTTATTATATAGGATAGAGGCCTGGTGCACGGGTGGGGGCTGGCTGGTTTGCCCTGAAGGGTGTCCCGGCCTGGATCAGGGTGGGGGTCCCCACTGGGGTGCCTGGCCAGCCTGGTGAGCGGCTGATGGCTGTTTGCAGGCTAGTCAAGCCCCACAGTGGGAACCCTCACCCCATGAGTTTGTGGCCAGCCTGGGTGAGGGGCTGAAGGCCATTTCCAGGCTGGCCACGGCCACAGGCTGGAAGCAGGTATCTGGGATTTATTTATCTTCTATAATTGAAACTTTGTAGCCTTGAGCAGAGCTCAGGACCGGCCAGGGCAGGCGGGAAGCTTGGCTTCCTCCATTGCCGGGGGCAACCAAACTTCCTGCTCACTCCAGCTCCGTGGCCGCCGCCATCTTTGTGACGGAATGACAGAGTGAGGGTGTGATAGTTAATTACTCTTTTATTAGATAGGATTGTACCTTAACTTTCAAATTCGATACTAGATACAATTATCATGAACTAAATGAGAACATTACAAATGCAAATATTCTAACACAAAGACTTGTATAATTTTGTTTAGATTGTCAATGGTTGCTTCATCCAAATTTTCTTCATTGTCATCCATCGTATGCCATACTTCAGGGAAAGGAGATGCTATCAGATGCAAAACTGGAACACCTAATACAAAAGAACCAACTTGTAATTAAGTGCATATTTAAACTAGAAAGTATAATTTGGCAAGCAAAAGTCTGAGTGGGAATTCTGTCCCTTCCATATAAAGACAGTAGGTTATTCATCATCTTCTGTGCACTCCCTTATACCTTACCCTTGTTCTCCAAAGTCATTCATTTAGTTAAACAAATGTTAATTAATTCAGTAAGTAATTAGAAAGCACCTACTGTATACCAGCCCCTATTCTAGAAGTTAAGGTTTCATCGTTAAAAGGCTAAGTCCTGGTCATATGGCGTTTACATTCCAGTAGAGAAAGAAGCAAATAAACAAATATAAAAAATAATTTTAGAAAGTGATATGGCTTATAAAAAACAATAAAATACAGTGAGGAAATAGAGAATAAGAGGCAGACAGTGGAGCCAAGAAGAAGGTATTTAAAGTCAGGGAAGGCCTCTGTGAGAAGCTAACAAATAAATAGAGACATGCAACAAAGGAAAAGCAAGCTGTGCAAAAGTCTAGGGAGAAGTATTCTAGGCAGCAGTAGTAGTAAGTGCAAAGGCCCTGGGGTGAGGAGTGAGCTTGGCCTGCTTGAGGAACAGCAAGGAGCCAGTGTGGCTGGATTGAAGTAATACTGATTGGAGACAGACGTAGGAAGTGATGTTAGAGAGGGAGAACAGAGTCAGAAAATGGAGGCCCTTACAGGTCATGGTAAAGACCTTTGGTCTTATTCTACATGATAGCAAGCCACTAGAGCTTTAAAGCAGAAAAGGAACATAATTTTACTTACATTTTTAAAAGATAACTCTCATTCCTGTGTAAAGAATAGGGAAGCAAGAGCAAACACTAGAGACAAATTGGGAGGCTCCTGCAAGAGTCCTTGGGTTTGCCCTAGCTAGCCGGTTTGGCTCAGTGCACAGAGCGTCGGCCTGCGGACTGAAGGGTCGCAGGCTTGATTCCAGTCAAGGGCACATGCCTGGGGTTGTGGGCTCAATCCCCAGAAGGGGACGTGCAAAAGCCAGCTGATTAATGATTCTCTCTCACCAATTATGTTCCTCTCTTTCCCTCTCCCTTCCTCTCTGAAATCAATAAAAAATATTTTTTTTTTTTTTAAAAAAAGAGTCCTTGGGTTTGTTTAAACTCCCGCCATTGACATCAAGGATACGGCTTCCTTATTAATGAGTAAACATCAGAGTTACACAAAGTGTAAGAATACAGTCTAACTCTAAAAGTGAAGGCACGGTCAATGGAACATGAGCTTTCATAAATATCCTAGCTGCAGGAAAAAAATATAAAGGTGTCAAGGATTTTGAATGACTTTCATGAAAAAAATAGAAACCATAAGATGATTGGTGAATGACTTAATTATTCAATTCATTAAATCTAATGGTTCCTTACCCTTCTAGATTGTTGCAAAAGCACATAAAATACAATGAATACAATAGGTTAAAAATGCACATGTGTATGCACACATACATATACACACACATTATTACCTCTTCTTAAAAATGGGAGATGGTCATCCTGAATCATTCCTCCAAAACCATGATTCTGGAAATACCGCCTCTCCAAAGAATGAGCCTTGAGCAAACCTAATGCATGGAGTTCATGTTCTGCGGATGACAGTTAGACCGTAGATGAATATCTGTTTTTATCTGATGAATACACAGAATGCATAAGGAGTGTGAAATCTTAGCACGTGTGGCCATTGCTTTTACAACATGCGGCCGTGAACATATGTCAATAACCATCTGGGCTCTACATGGGTGTGTACATTTTGGAGTAGTTTGGGGATGAGAAGGGTCACATGTAGCTGTAGATTTACAGGTGAGAACCTTCTTAAAGATGAAACTCAATAAAAGAATGGAGAGATGAAGAATGATAAAAACGGGGGGGTGGAGAGGGGAAGATGGGGAGAAAACAACATAGGTACTCATAGATCCGAGATCCTGTATGAAGAATACCTTAAGAGGAGATGTGGGGCTTGGAAGGGTAATACTCAAACAGAATAAGGATGAAGTTTACTGAATGGCCACTTTATGGAAAGGGGTTACCTGCTACGACCTGCATCAGTGGTTCTCAAAGTGTGGTCTCCAACCAGGGGTATCAGAATCACCTGGCAACTTGTTAGAAATGTAAATTATCTGGACCCACTTCAGACTCACAGAATCAGAAACTCTAGGGACGGAGCCCAGCACTGTGTGTTGTAACAAGCCCTCTAGGTAATGCACACTCTAGTCTGAGAACCATTGGCCTGCATTCCATCACTCATCATCTTGTAACATAGAACTCATGTGTTATGTTACCTGGTTACATATAACATGAGTTCTATATTACAAAATGATAGGAGATCACAAGAAAACTATAAGACAATTAAATGAAACTCATCAGGATAGCCTGGTGTGTGTTTTCAATTGCTAAATTTCAAGTGTAAAACTAGACCAAGTGGTAAGCATGCATATGTGATATTTTAGGAATATGGAGATATTTAGGAACATATGTAATATTTTAGGAACCACCACCAAACAATATTCGCAATCCATTAATTGACACAATTCTTTCATCTTAGGATATAACTTTTCCTTATGCAATTAGATATGGTTTGAAGTACAGTAAGTTTCACTAGGAGGGGGCAGCACAATGGGTTAAAAACCAGTAAGGTGCAAGTTAATGCTATAAATTCATTTTGGTAGAGGAAATAAGAAAAGTGCAGAAAATCCTTGAAAAATGGCCAAACCCAATTTTTTGAGGCTACCATCAAAGTAAAGAAAACATGCTAAGAGAGGCCCCAAATGCTTATATTAATAATACCACAAAAGCAATTCTTTCAAACTAGAAATTGAAATTTGCCAAAGAAAAGTATCTAAGGTTCAGGCAAAAGTTTCTCTTGTAATATTCTAAATCTGCATATTGGCAAATTCTGAACTCATGGCAAAAGTGTGAGTTGAGATTGAAGTGCTTTTCCCACTGCTTAAATTAATCAAAACTGCCCCGACCAGTTTGGCTCAGTGGATAAAGCATCGGCCTGCAGATTGAAGGGTCCCAGGTTAGATTCCAGTCAAGGGCATGTACCTTGGTTGCGGGCACATCCCCAGTAGGGGGTGTGCAGGAGGCAACTGATCGATGTTTCTCTCTCATCGATGTTTCTGGCTCTTTATTCCTCTCCCTTCCTCTCTGTAAAAAATCAATAAAATATATATTTTTAAAAAAATTAATCAAAACTATAGACCAGGTCAGGCCAGGCAAAGAAACAAAGGTATCTATGGCTCAAGACAGAGGCTTTGGGGCTTAGAGAAGGAAAAGGAGAATAACTTTTTTCCTTTATACCATGAGCCTGGCTCAGGACTTCTGGCTGAGCAGTGTTACCCCTGTGGGAGCGCACTGACCACCAGGAAGCAGCTCCTGTGTTGAGCATCTTCCCCCTGGTGGTCAGTGCATGTCATAGCAACCGGTCATTCCACCGTTCTGTCGATTTGCATATTAGCCTTTTATTACATAGGATATCAAAATGCAGTTTCATGCAGGAAAATATAGTGGGCCTACTAAAAGAGATGAATAGGAACAATTAATTAATCCATAAAGCAAGGGGAAAAGCCAGTAAAGGATAGTATATATTCAAATCATACACTGAAATCATAAATTTTGAATTTTAAAATGTAGTGTTTGTCAGGAGGAAGAAACCTAGTTTTAATAACATTGGTGCTTACCAATTGCTTGAAGTCTATCAAACCATCGGGCAGAGTTTGGGAAAAAATTGGGAAATGTTGGATTTGGAGCTCCAATTAAATCTAGTAAGACCAATAAATCCTAAGGGAGAAAAAATGTTGTTTAGTCATTGTCACTAAAAACACGTTCCATATTCATCAAAGTAAAAAAATGAATCAAAACTATAGGCATATTAACAATTGAGAATAATCTAGGGAGCTTTATGAACAAAAGATTTAATAGCACTGTAAGCTAATACTTTGGCAAATTTATTAAATCTTGCTTTGCCATTAAATGGCAATATGTAGATTCTTTGAGTCTGGAATCCCAGAAGGATTTCACTGAAAATAAATTAGAAAGAGGACATTTGGATAAGTATTTCATAGATTTAAAAAGAATACATTTAACTTGATTTTCAGATGGGAGTCCAAGCCCCTGGTCTTCTATTCCATTCTAATTCGCCATTTTATTCTTTGTCTGTAATGACATAACCACCTATAAGAGAACACTTAGTAACTATTTATTCCCCAAAGTAGCATATAAGAAAAATTCCTTGGCCAGGAGCTACAGGACCTGATGTCTCTGGCTGTCCGTGTCCTTTTCTATAAACCAGAAGCTCAAACTTAATGACCTCTGGTTATATGCTCTACAATTAAATCAGTGTTCCTTAACTTGTTTGAGCCATAAAACATCAGCAGTATTAAGGACTCCCTGAAGAGAGTCCTTACACACCCCTCCCCCCGCCTAACCCTGGTTTAAAAACTGATTTATATAAGTGAGATCATGTGTGGGTAAATATCTAGTGTAGATCCTACACATGGTAGGTAAATATTTGCAGAGTCTACCATTCTAAAGATACAGTATCTGTTACCTCATGAATGATGATTAAATATATTCATTGGGGGAAATGGGCTTGTTTGAAATCAGAATGTATTTACATGGTTAGATAAGCTAATAAGAGTTTGTTTTGGGGGGGAGGGGGGGAGGAATGGTCTTAATCATATTATGGATTCATATATTTGAAATGATAAATAACTTTGTTCTTCCTACTGATCAGCCAGGTCTCTCCTCCTCGTCTGAATACTTTTTAGCCTTTTGGGTTCAAGTGACCGAACGAGATGCTGACCATATTCCCCTGATCCATTATGAGCTGCCAATGGACCACAGGATGGAGAGAATGCCCACATGGGATGTGTCAGAATCATAGAGGACATTTAACCTGGCCATGTGGACTCAGAGGGAGAAGGTAAGTGACCGGGCAAAGGACTGGGACAAGTGGAGTGGTTAGGAATAGGCTTTCAGTGCACAGATAGGGTGAAGGTCAGGGATGCACGAAGGCACGGGAAGAATGAAGACTCAGGAGAGGCATGAGGTCCCAAGCTGGGGTTAGTGAGGACTCAAGACTGAGTGACGGTCAAATACAGGAAGAGAATTAGAATAGGGAAAGAATTCAAGGGCAGGGTGAGGGACAGGGGGGCGGAGGGGGACCAGGATTAGGGGTGAAAATGGAGTCATGTGTTGCACCCATCACTTGGTAGTAAGAGCAGGGTTTTAAGGCAGCATCAAAATGTCTCCACCCCCACGTCAAAAATACCACATAAAAATCAGCCCATCAAAATGTCATATGCACAGTCAGAGCCATTATAACGCTTTGAATCCACTGAGGAAATTCTTCACTCCCATCCTCATACCACGTCCCACTCTAACTCCACTTCTCAAGACCCCCACCTCCTCAGGCCTCAGGGCTCCAAGAAGGGGTGCTCTCTCCACCTCTATGCAGTACCAGGGGCATGCAATCCCATTGGACCAAACTGAATGTGATGTCTCCTTAATCGGATGTTTTACAGCCTTTCAATTAAAGTGTTTTTACATTTTTGAAAACTTTAAATCAAATAACATTCAACTTTCAAAACTTACTATGTAAATGTTCATATCATTTCAGGGAAATATTTTAATGAAGCTCAGACGCAACTGCTAACCCAGAATCCTTCTTTTTAGCTCTGGGATTCCTCAAAAACCCAAACGCCTGCCAAGGAATGTTCTGTTATAAACACTCTGCTCTAAGGATGCCGGGGCATCTTTCGGTCTTTAATTGGCTTTAGCTTTGGCTGCCTTTGAGGCAGCCCCTGCAGCCACAGCAGCACCACGGATACTTCCCAGACTAACCATGCTGTGCAGCTGGTTGGTGTTTCTCGCTCCAGGTGGGTGTGGGGTCGATGCCATCTTTGCAGCTAAGTGCCGAGACCCATACAGAGAGTCTTGAGGGGACCAGTGAAGAAAAGCCTCTTCCCCGTCAAAGAAAATCAGCTGGAGTGACAGATCCAGCTTGGAGTCTGAAACGTTCTGGGAAAAAAAAAAAAAAAAAAAAAAAAAAAAAAAAAACAGTGAAAAGGTAACTGGAGAGAGGACAGCTGAGCCACAACGCAAGGGACGATAACACAGTGAGTGAAAATATGCCACCATTGATTTGGCACCACTTCTTCCCTGAAAATCATCCCACCTCCATGTAAATCTCACCGTCTCCCACTCCCCATGAAAAGAGAGGTTATGCATTTTCTCTGACTCTTCAGAGAACTTTGAAAGGCCCTGCCACCTCCAGAGATTCCCAGAGATTGACTGGCACTATTGAACCTGCAAGACAGCCTGACTTCCTCCTCTCCCTGATCTCATTGCTCTCCCCTCCCTGCCACCGGTGTTGAGTCAGGGCCACTCCCTAAGAAATGACCTAAATGCTAACCTCCAAGTCAGAGTGTGCATCCCAGGAAACCCAACCTGAACAACTGCAAATCTATTTGGCTACTCATCCATGATGTGCCTGCTCTTTTTTTTTTTTTTTTTTTTGTGAGTCTAGGTTCTAGGACCTGCTCTAGGAATGCAACAGGGACACAAAGAGTAATCATTACAGCCTCTCCCCCTGCAGGAGCCTACACTTTAATTGGGGTAGGAAAGATCAACCAAATACATGAACATGGCAAAAGGTGCCAAGGGTCACACATGTAAAGTAAAACTCATCTGGGAATGGATAGAATGAGAGGTTGAATCCTTGGGGTGTCAAGGAAGACTTCACGCAAGGGATGATTTTCAGGAGAACTTTTCAGAAGTATAAGCAGGGTTCTGATGAATGTTTTACTTTCCACGGTCTGATGACTCTCACTTTTTAGATTAGTCCCCCAACTCCCAGAATCTGCAACCCAACTGCAATCCCTAATCTATTGAATCGTTTCTCTTTTCCGAGTCCTTCACCCCCAGGATGTCCTCATTTCACTCCATGTTCAGCTTAAATTCCAGAGTCAATCATTCTAATCACTCCCTTGTCTCTCTCTGCCTTGGTCACACTCACATGGCAAACACATGACCTCAAGTCCACTCTCTGCTTCCGCCGTGCCTGCACCCGTGCAGCTGGACGTGGCAGGGGGAAATATACAACCGTTTGCGCTCTCCACCTCACTAACATGCTGGGGGATGTGCTCCCAGTGGACCAAACCTATTCTGATGTTTCCTTAATCTGTTAGAGGTATCCCTTCCGCTCTTATCTGAGGACATTAGAAACTGTGTCCTTTAAGTCCTCTTCTGCTCCTTGTGCTTGTTTTCCTCCCAGTTCACTTTTCAACTTGTATTATTTGTTCTGCTGGCTTGCTTTCATGTCGGAGACTGTCCTCAAATGTCTGGTCATCCTTTGTGTCCGTTCATATAAAGAGTAAGGCCTATCACACTGAGTAGGTTGGCTTCCCTGCAGGGTGCCCTGGTGCCCAGTCGGAGTTTTCACTGAGATGGTTCCTGTGTTCCAGAGGAGGATCCTCCAGGTTCCTGTCTCTGGTACAAGCTAGCTGCTGGCTTTCTCATGCTGGACGTGGGGGAAAGGCTGCGGGCCTCAGTGTTCAATGTGAGACTTCCACCTCACCTCCTTGCTCTCTATGAGGCACCTCTCTACAGCCCTCCTTTACATCTGGTGTCTCCATGTCCAGAACCTCCCTGGTTCAGTTTCTCTAGAAAAACATTCTATCATCTCCCGCAAGAAAACAGATGGGGTACTCACCTATCTTCCAGGTGTGGGGTGGGAACCTACGTATCTAAGTGCTCCTTAGAGTTAACAACACTCTCCTTCCCAGCTCCCCCCACCCCCACTTCCTCACTATCTGTGTAGCCTGATTTGTGAAGCTCTTCCAATCCTTCTTGGTGGCATATGATAGATGCCTAATTACCAGTGTCAACATAGTTGGTGAATTACCTGCACTCTTTCCCCACCCAAGGCTATCTCAATAGTAAGGTGTGAAAAACCACCCTAAATTCAGTGGCTTAAAACAATACTCATGAATCCTGGGTCTGTAGGTCAGCTGGGGACAACTGATCAAAGCCGGTGTGGGCTGGATCAGGAGCCTTGCTTCACCAAAGTCATTAAGGTTGGCTTTGTTCCACATGTCTCTTATCCTCCTCCAGGGGCTGGCAGGCTAGCCAGGGCACACCCTTTTCCTGGTGATGGCAAAGGCACGAGGGAGCAAGCCCAATTGCACAAGCACATTTCTAGCCTCTGCTTGTGTCACATCTACAGGCATTCTATTGGCCAAGACAAGTCAAATAACCAAGTCCAGAGGTAAGGAATGACATGGTACAACCTACCATTGGGGGAGGAGGGAGGAACACAGCAAAGTTATAAGGCAAAAGATGTGAATACATAATTATAATCTTATTACTAGAGGGGAGAGGGCTGCAAAGAGTTGGCACAATAATCCAGACCTCTCCCAGGTCACATTCCATCACCGCCTACCCAATCCGTGACAGCTGAAGAACTTAAAATAACTCCTTCTTACAGTTTAAATTAAAATCCAACTGGGAGAATAAATCTGATACTCTCAATGCTTGTACCCAAAACTAGCCCTTTTTAAAAACTGTCCACATCACTACCTCTATTAGAAAGGATAATGAAGAGAATGTACGTGCATTTTTTCATGGGGATCCCTACCCAACAACTCGTTCAGCTCTTTCTACCAAAAGCAGGTATGAGGTACATGCAAAAGGTACAGGAGCTCCCCCAGAAAAAGCACAGGCACTACACAACCTGTGCCTTTACGTCACATCCATTTCATTTCATGTCCTGACACTAGAATGCAAATATGAGAAATCAAACTGTTACATCAGCTTCAGAAACCCTCACCCAATAGCTGGGGAAGAGTTCTAGTTAAAAGCAGGGTAGAGCACGGGACAAAGACATCATAGAAAGTTCAGAAAACAAAACAAAACACAGTGAAAAGGATACCGAGAGGTTATAAACAATTCTTGCTTTCTTCAAGTGCAGCATATCCAACAAAAATAGAACCAAATATCTCTATTACTTCCATTACAAGATAAACATTTTACTTCTTTATCCCCATTGTACCCAAGGCCAGCCCCTTCATAAAGCTCTGAGGGGAGAAAGAGGCATCCGTTGCCTGCGAACAAAGTTTTTTGTTTTTGCTTTGTTGTGTTTACTTGGTTATGAGTGGTATCTGAACAAAATGTCTTCATCTAGTTTAGCACTTTTCCCCAATATACCCTTAAGAACACAGAGACTGAAATAACATCTGAGAGTCCCAGAAGTATTCTGAGCTGAGAACATAACAAAAGCTCTACTATGCTACATAAAATTGAGCTGAGATTCACAGATAATAACAATAATGCATTTCTGCTTCATGCTTTTCATCTTGATACGTCTGAATTACTCACTCTTGAGGGCCACCGTCTCTCAGATCAGAAGGTTGTGATGTCCGTGGCTCCATAAACAAGAAGAAATAAACAGAGTTCTCAGACATATACCTGTATCAATCTTCCGCCTTCTTAAATTTTCACAAAGAAATGTTGCCCTTAATTTAATGTGTATTCAAAACTAAGAAATCAGGTGCCAATTAATGAATTCACTGTCGTGTATCTTAGGTTTATTGCCCATGGTTGACATTTCAAATAATGTAATCTTCCAATTAATATTCACTCAAACTCATACCATTTTGCAAACAATTGATACAAAATGTCCTGAGACCTCACTGTCTCTAAGCCAGCGATAAAAAAAAAAAAAAATGTCCTGAAAGTCTACATTTCTAAACAGCCTTCTCACTCCCCGCAAGGATTCTCGAATTCACTCTGAGTTACTGCTCATGTGTTTTATGCCAAGAATCTACAAGAGGGAAACAGATACCTTCAAGGAAAGGAGTTGCTTGTCTAAGGCACGAGCTAGTTCCAACATCATCGCACAGGGCACGGCTGAGTCGGTGGCTCCCACAAACACCCTGTTGTCCCAATGGGGGAAATACTTGGAATCGTAGTGACAAGCAAGTACCAAGTGCCGTTTAGCAGTGGGATTGAGGGTGCTGATGATATTTGAGAAAGACCGATATCCATAAGGTGTCTGACTCAAGAAGGTGTCTACTTCCAAGACCCAGTCAGCTTGAAGTCTCTGAATTCTCTGCATGATATGCTGTTCAAAACAAAAAATAACAAAATTTCAAATCGAGACAGGTTTCATTTGTTCAGTATGTTTTAAATTGCTTATAGGCCTTTCGAGTTAACAATGCAGTACATGCTTATTGAATGAATAGCAAGGATGTATAGAAGAAAGGCTAATCTCCCTCTCCCCCAATATTCTCCCTGCAAATTGTTAATAGTATTGTTAATAGTCTGATGCACAGCTTCTCTTTTTTTTTTTTTTTTTACACAAACATATAGTAGCACAAACTCATAGACTGGATGTGTTTTTATAGGAATAGAATGCTACTCTTCTCACTTAACAATCTAACATGAACATTTCTACATGTCCGGAGATAGAGATCCAGTTCAATATGTCTTAAAGCCCACTTTCCATTTCTCTAGGAGGCTAAGGAGGCATGTTTGAGGAAACAGATATACCAGGGTCTCAACTTCCACTCTGAGCTCTCTGAGGCAAGCACGGCACATGATAGTTCTTTAGGTCCCCAGTGTATAGCAGGTGCCTCAAGTCCAACAGATACTTCGCAATATCATGAACACTAACAAAAGATACTGATGCTCACCCGCTCAGATACTATAAAGGGAGTCCCACAACAAGGGGGTCGGTAGGGATATTTGAGGTCCTGCCCACTCTAAGAATCAATAAGCGACTCTGTACCACAGTGACTGTCGAGTAGCTTTCCTTCTGCATTCAAGGAAGGTCCAGACCCACTGCACGTTCTGGTAAAAATAAACCCGTTTCTCCTGGTTATCTTAGGCCTTCTGAGCAACACGGTAAATGACAGGAAAAAGTATCAGATACAAAAGAAACTCCACCTCAGACACTAGAAGGGTCTTCTTTAAGCATCTGTGGGTGAGTTCATCCCTGTTCCATTGGCCCTTTCCTGCCTTTATTTTCCCTTTGCCTCATTTTTCTCACTGGGTTCCATTTATTTTATTTTGAAATATACACATCATTGTAAGTTGCTTTAAAGGATTTTTTTAAAGTCAAGTGACAAAGTAACCATCCACATAACCAGCAATCTGTTCCACAATGACCATCAGTGGGGATGGACCTTGAGGTAATAAACAAATAACATAATAACTGGAAAAGAAGGGGAGACTTTTCCCTCCCAGGGAAACACAATTTTCTAGCCTCGCCAAGTCTTGTGTGGCGTCCTGCCCTAACTAATGTGACCTGGCACGTGGGCGAGGACCTTGGAAAAACTGTGGCAGGAAGCTTCCGGGGATAGAGCTGAACCAGGGGGAAGCACAGTGTCTCTACAGCCAACCCTGCAAACGCCAAATAAAAACATAATTCTCCAGCTGCCCACTGTCTGCTTTCTATAGTGAGGTGGACTTCAGCCTACATAGCACAAATACCCAGTACCTTGCCTTTTCCTATTATAGGTTGAGAAGTTGTCTTTTCATATTTTTTAAAAAAAAGAATGTTTATACTAGCAACCTTGTTGAAATCATCATTTATATCTCATTTTTGTTATTCTCCACAATCCTCAGTATTGGGCTTTGTTCACAGTTGGCTATCAGTACATATGACTAAACTGTAATTAACAAACTATTTTTTCCTTCTTTTAAAAAATGTTTAAATTTTTTTAAAAATATATTTTTATTTATTTCAGAGAGGAAAGGAGAGGGAGAGATAGAAATATCAGTGATGAGAGAGAGTCATTGATCAGCTGCCTCCTGCATGCCCCACACTGAGGATTGAGACCGAAACCCGGGCGTGTATCCTGACCAGGAATCGAACCGTGACCTCCTGGTTCATATATCGATGCTCAACCACTGGTCCACACTAGCCAAGCTAAAGATATTTTACTTTTTTAATTATAAGTATTCTCAATGAGAATATATAAAATTATATGATATAGAATATTAGTAGTTTGAATAGAGAGAAAGCATTGTGCATCTAAGACAACCTTTACACAGAATATGAAAATAAGTTATCTTCAGACTTGAGGGAAAAATTATTTCCCATAAAAGGGGTCATGCAAAAAAATTTTTCAAAAGGCCTGTACTCCAGAACATCTGGCAGCCAGATGTTAAGCTGCTCCATAAACTGTCTTCAGCAGCCTACGTGCTTACAAAATGAATTGGGACTTAAAATATATATCTGTTAGCTTTGCTCAACTGAAGTCTCACACACAAACTCATTTCTCAACTACTAAACCAGTTGCGATAATTCCTGATATCGATGTTGACACTAAAATCCTCAAAAGCATCAGCAAATGGCCCAGAAAGAATTCTGCCTAAAGTAATCTTTTTTTTATTCTGTGTAAATATTTTTATTTGTCTTAGCAACTAATTTCTTTCTAAACAATCATATTGGCTGCATAACCTAATTACATCACCAATATATCTCGTTGTTGTGCTTTTGGCTTTCAGACTTGATCTGCAAGTTCCCACTACAATTCTGTAGAGCAGGCTGCAAAAACGACTGCTCTTCTCACAAGAATGTCCGAGGCAGGGGGCGCTGGGCTGTGGGAGAGAGTCTAAAGCTGCTGTGCTTCCCTCACTCCGGATAGCAAACGCCTGGGCCCACCAGCCATGCTAAAATGCAATGTAGAATGTGGGCTATATTTTTATTATTATACGCCCATTTCTTTTAAATAGGGAAGAGAGATGAGCCCAAGGAGTACCACTGAAATGAGAAGATCCAGAGCTAGGGACATCTGTGAGCACACACCACAGAGCCGGTTCCTCCCAGCATCCACTCTCCAGTGATCGATGGAAAGGTCAAGGTTAAACCCTTCCAGAATCTGGACTGACATTAGACTGCTTGACTTCTGCATATACACACTCATTTTTACCACGGGCCAGAGTCAGAAGCTTGAGAAGCACTGCCCTGGAGAAAGTAGCTTGTCACTGATCTTGACTCTCCCACCAGGGAGAATACAACTTCCCAAAGGGAAGCCTGATAGGACAGTAACTCGCTCTCGGCCCAGAACTGGCGAGCACGGGCTGTCTAAGGCTGTTACTGTTGGGTGTTTAGGGCCCAAGGGGTTGTTATAGAAATGGCCAAGAGTTGAGCACTTACCACCTTGTCTGATACCATACCCTACACAGAGATTTCACACATAAATTGTTTTAGGCTAACATGCAATGCTTAACAAAACAGACATTTACTCTCAGTTGTTTGATTTTCTTGGTTGCCTATTTTGGCGAATAATAAGATTAGAATGCAGATCTGAATGTTAGATAACTCGGAACTGGAGATAGATAACCTCTCACGTGAAAGCAAGTATTCAACAGCCCTTAGATTTGAGTGCTGCATTCTCACCTGGCGAGCAGCATAGCTTCCAGGGGAGCCTGGATATCGCTCTATCAGCAATGGCCGTAAGTCATGTTGCCACATTTCAGAAATACTGGTGCCTTCTGCAACTTGCCGGAGAGACGATGAATTCAGAATGGCTGGTTGGTGATCATTCTGAGGATTAAACAACGTTATTTAACCAACTATTGTTTCATAATATGTTTAAGACTTACCTTGAGACATCTGCGTTTGAAAAACACTGGCTTTGAATCTCAGAATAAAGGGATAGCTCTTATGTTATACAAGGCACATTAAGCTAGTCAAATTAAAAACTGGCCCCGCCCTAACCGGTTTGGCTCAGTGGATAGAGCATCGGTCTGCAGACTGAAGAGTCCCAGGTTCGATTCTGGTCAAGGGCATGTACCTTGGTTGTGGGCACATCCCCAGTGGGGAGTGTGCAGGAGGCAGCTGATCGATGTTTCCAACTTCTCTATCCCTCTCCCTTCCTCTCTGTAAAAAATCAATAAAATACATATTTTTTTAATAAACTGGCCCCTACGATCTAGGAAGTTAAACTAATTCTTTTTTAAAAATATATTTTTATTGATTTTAGAGAGGAAAAGAGAGGGAGAGATAGAAACATTAATGATGAGAATCATTAATGGGCTGTCTCCTGCACGCCCCACAGTGGGAATTGAGCCCGCAACTCGGACATGTGCCCGAACCGGGAATCGAACTGTGACCTGGTTCAAAGGTCGACGATCAACCACTGAGCCACGCCAACTGGGCTAAACTAATTCTTTTGATAGCTTGTCTTAAAAACAAAATTAATATAATGCTTTGAACCTGAAAATGAATATTTAACGCATTTCCTGTGTACGTTGTAATGACTTTTGGTACAACTGCTTTGTAAAACTAAGATTTTAAAATATCAGTGATCTAGCTCCTGTTCTTAAGTTTGTGTTTGTTTACTGCTAATACATTTTAAAATATATTTCCTTAATAAATTTGTCACTGCAGCCTTTACATTCCTTGGTACTCCACAATCAAAGTGCATCTACATTACCTCTCAAACAGCAATTTGAGAAGACAATGAAAGCTAAGTGACAAAACACCGGAAATGGGAAAAGAAGAAATAAGAAAATGGAGGCAGGAAGTCAGAAGACTTTATGTGGTTAATTATTACTTAACCTGACCAACGAGAGCTTGCCTGGTCTCTCCCGCTGGCTCACAAGCCCTAGGAAGGGTCACTCGCGCCAGCTCACCAGGCTCAGTCGCCCTGGCATCCTTCCAGGCCCCAAAGCAGTGTAAGGCTGTGCCCCATGGGGGCTTTGCATCTGCGGTGCCTTCTACCTTGAAGGCTTGTCCCTTCCTCTTCACCTGGCCAACTCCTGCTCATTTCAGGTGGTAGCTTAGAGGACTCTTACTTGGGTTTATACTTGTTTAATGCCTGATTTCATGTGAGAGCAAAACTCTCTCCTTTTTTCTGCTCTCTTCCTAGCTCATATTGAGCACTCCATAAATAGTGGGTGAATTCATCAAATAAGGAAGTGACAGGTGACTATCTTTCTAAAGCTATCTTCACCGAGATTGGGTTTACATAATAATAAAGTAAATTGGGCCTTTTGCTATCATATATATTAAGTCAGTTGAATGCACAAGCAATTATAAAGACAGAAGAGACAGGTGGCTACCTACTGCAAAGGGCCAGGAAATGCTGTAGTTCCATATTGGTGAGCTTTGTTCTTTTTGAATTTCTGATAGCTTGTGATGACTTAGAGTTGGGTTGGCCCAGGGCAGTTATTGTTTCAAACACTGTTTGAGCCCTAGACGGTTTGGCTCAATGGATAGAGCGTCAGCCTGAGAACAGAAGGATCCCAGGTTCGATTCCAGTCAAGGGCATGTACCTGGATTGCAGGCTCCTCCCTGGTCGTACAGGAGGCAACCAATCAATGTGTTTCTCTACTTCTGTCTTTCTTTCTCCCACTCTCCCTAAAAATCAATGGAAAAATATCCTCAGCTGAGGATTAAAAAAAAACAAAACAAAACAAAACAAACAAAAAAAAAATAAAGGAAGAAAGCTGTTTGGACAGTGACTCCTTTTCCAATGATTTACAAATGCCATCCCAGAGCCTACCTGGTCGCTGTGGATGCGGTCATGTCCTCAGCAAAAGGAGAGGAAGCTTATGTTTTAACGGGGACTTATGGAGGCTTGAAAGAATTCTTAAAGGGTTTCAGAAAAAAGAGGAACAAAACAAATAACTCTCGAGCATCTGTAGTGTAACAGATAATGTGGGTGAAACATAGTCCACACGAATCATCCAAAAACTGCTTAATGGATGAATAAAGGGTAAGTTCCACAAACAGGCCGTGGATGCTCCTGAATACAGACTTGCAGGAGTTGTTTCAGGCTCCTGAACTCAACCATGTAATTAACGTACTTCAGTAAAGAGTCCTTCCCGCCTCTGCCCCCCTATGAAATCACAGAGTTTATAAAAGCTCCCCGGTCAGTGAAGGATAGACATGGGAAACCACCACACTCGGTATGTTACTTAAGCCTTTCTATTCATTAAAGCTCCGAGGGGAAAGCATTTGACTTCTCCAACTTAAATGGCACTCATTCAATTTTTATGGAGACTCACTCTCTGAACTCAATAAACAGAAAAATCTATATGCAGATGAGAGGAAGGAAAAGCGGGGAAAACCTGGAGAGAAAGCGTGGGCTGGGTGCGAGGAAGGTAAATGAGGCAGAAATAGTGTTGAGCCCATGTTAAGTGCATGACCCAAATTATTCTAGGTTCAGTTCGGTTCAGAGACACATCGGCAATTTTCTATTGGTACAGGGCTTCTCGGAGGAATGAGTCTCTGTTACAGCCCCCGCCTCTTTTCACCCAGGCCGAAAGGACAATAAGTCTGCTTTCCGTGACAAAAATCTTTCAGCTCAAAAAGTGTGAACCAGATACCCTGAGGCAACTCCTCTAGGCTAATCACGTGGTTCCTTTCAGAGGGCTATGCAGTCCCAAATCCTTGCACTAAAAGGAGAGTGTTACAGAAGCTCAGCCAATTCAATTCCAGTTTCCATCCCATGTGAGGGTCTCCCAACAGCACTTGGTATAACACTTGTGTCCACCTGCAAATTCAACCCAGGCAGCATTCACTGAACTCCTTCTGCGTGTGGGATGCCACTGACATTACAAATGCAGTCGTGGAAAGGTAGGGAACTGAATGAGATAACAGTATGTCTCTTCTTTCAATGCAAGCAGGCATCTATCGAAAAGCAAAGCAGTGCAGGCTGTGAACAATTCAGGGTGAAATCCCAGCTCCCTGACTTACTAGCTGTGACTAGGACAAGTTTCCTTATTGGTAAAATCGATGTCATAGTACTTACCTTAGTACAGTGGTCGGCAAACTCATTAGTCAACAGAGCCAAATATCAACAGTACAATGATTGAAATTTCTTTTGAGAGCCAAATTTTTTAAACTTAAACTATATAGGTAGGTACATTGTTATTAACTTAATTGGGGTACTCCTAAGGCTTAGGAAGAGCCACACTCAAGGGGCCAAAAAGCCTCATGTGGCTCGCAAGCCCCAGTTTGCCAACCACGGCCTTAGTAGAAGTTCAAAATGGGACATTTTGTCTTTTTCTGCTACAAACACCCATCCTACCATTGAGTTCCCTGTCCCTGCCTTGAAGTCTCTGTTGCTGTTTCCATAAGAATCAATGGCTGTGAGATGGGAGGATGGATAACTAAGGACTTTTAGAACATATGTGGCTCTAGATTCTAGAAGGAGAGGAATGTGAAATACTGGGGGGAGCGGTAGCAGCTCGCTAGAGCTGACCCTGAGGGAGGACTCCTAGGTGAGGCCAACTCTCCTGTATATGGTTGCTCTGTTCAAAGACTCTGTCCCTCTATCCCTGGTATAATTTCAACTTTATCGTTGAATTTCACCTTTGTTACCATAAATTTCTACCATTAAAATACATTGGGTCCCAGCTTAACAATAGAGGAAGTTTGGAAACAATCTAAATATTCAGCAATAAAGGGATAGTTAAATTGTGGAATGATGATGATTTTATAAATATCAACTGATGCTTTCAATAAATTATGAGCTCAAGGAAATACTCATACAATTAAGCAACACAGTAAGATATAAAACTGTATATGCAGCATAATCTCTAGTATGAAAGTCATGTGTATTTATTTTAAAAAATAAACAATTCCTCAAAAAGTTAAAAATGAAACTTCCACTTGACCCAGTAATCCCACTTGTAGGACAATATCCCAAGAAACCAGAAACACCAATCAGAAAGGGCATATGCACCCCTATGTTCATAGCAGCACAATTTACAATAGCTAAGATTTGGAAATAACCTAAGTGCCCATCAGCAGATGAGTGGATTAAAAAACTATGGTACATCTACACCATGGAATACTATGCCGCTATAAAAAAGAAGGAACTTTTACCATTTGCAACAGCATGGGTGGAACTGGAGAGCATTATGCTAAGCGAAATAAGCCAGTCAGAGAAAGATAAATATCACATGATCTCACTCATAATAATCAACTTAATTTGATGAACAAGAATAGATCCAGAGACAAATGGCAGGTGGGGGGGGGGGGGGCGGGTTAGAGAGCAACCAAAGGACTTGTATGCATGCATATTAGCATAACCAGTGGACACAGACACTGGGGTGGTGGGGGTTTGCCCGGGGTGGGAATGGCTGGGGAGTGGGGGGGTGGTCATTTGGGGAAAAAGGAGACATATGTAAAAATTTAGACAATAAATAATAATAAAATAAACAAGTAACCTTAACTGAACATTTGCTATATGACAACCATCGTGCTAAATGCTTTATGTAAATAGCTCATTCAGTTCTCATAAAACTCATGAGATTGGTACAATTTTATCATCTCTATAAACATAAATACACACATTTATATACATATGTATATATGTGTGTGTGTATATATATATATATATTTACAGGGTTAGGTAAAGGTAGTCTTGCAGTTGTGAGTGCACAAAACAGATTTTATTCTTGTATTGTTATTTATCAATTATTGTATTATTTTCCACATGAACTGTAAACCTACTTTCACCACCTCTCCCCCCCCCCCCGTATGTATATGTTTATATTATAGATATAGAGAGAAAACAAGAATACCAAAATGGTTAACAGCAATCATCTCTGAATGTGGGCTTATGGGTGATGATAGTTTCCTTTTTAGTGTCCTTTTCTGTATTCTCCTAGTTTTATAATTGGGAGACTTCAAGAAAAGCCATACTCCTTAATGTGTTGAAGCTAAAAGCTTCTGTTTTAAAAACACAGTCACCAGTCATTCACACCTAAGGGAGGGATGATTTAATTAGATTCCTTTTAACAGCTGGTTGACAAGGTTGTACTAAAGGGATAGGTTTGGGCCAAACTGTTTGGCGATTGGGAAAGGCAGGATTCAGAAGTAATTTTGGAATATGGATCAACCCCCAGAATAATGGCCTTTAAGCTCTATAAGGGAGATGAGGGGAAGGGAGAACTAAGGAGTGAGAGGAGAAAGGGTTCCAAAAATAAAATGACTGATTTTGGAATTCCATTTAGGGTCCACGCTGACCCAGAGAGGAGTTAGTAAGCTCTTCCTCTGGCCCTCCAATCTTCTCACACTCCTTCACTAGCTGGACACGGTCCCTGAACCATCAGCCAGGCCTCGTCTACTTTGGAGAAGAAAGTGGAAGAGGTGTAATTGTGGTCGAGTTTCCTCATCTGTAAATTGGAGATAAATGTACCCTCTTCACGGGGGCACTGTGAGGTTCCTAATATTGCTTCTATGGAGAAATTGCTTGCAGGTTTCAAATAACCAAATCGTTATCTTCTGAACACAACCTTAAGCTAGGGTTGAACTGTTTTTACATATTAGATGCTGCTGGAAGAGACACACCTTTATTTCACAGCCAAGAAAAAGGATTTCAAAATCAGTGCTTTGCCACGCCTCACCTTTGGGCAGACCAGTGTACCAAGAGCACACCTCACATGGTTAAAATATCCATGCCATAGAGAGCAGGAAGGCATGTGTTTTAGTGGTGACTAATTCTTTTCTCAGGCCGCACGCTGTACTGGCCGCCTGGAGGCCTTCACGGAGGCCTACAGAAAGAAGAGGGAGGGGGCCTCTCAGGCATGGTCACAGCTGATTTTGTCATTTGTTCATTTGCTTGCACCACTTTCCCAGAGAGCATCCAGTTTCCCAAAACTACAGTGACTAGAAGCTTCTTGAAATAAATATAAAAGGGACTTGTACTTTAAAAGACATTCCCAAAAGTTCAGTTCTCATGGCTTTAAACAATTTAAGAATGCAGCACCTTCTGCCATCTACAAGTACAACCAGCCTACCAACGATCCCTTCGGAGCAGCTCGTTCAAACAGTTCCCATCTCACTTACTCCCAACCATTTCCACGGATCGTAAAGGCAGGTTTGGTGTAGCTCCCCATTCTGGTTCTTTGTGCCCAATTTCTGACCAGGAAGGTCCTCACAGCGAAGCAAAGGAGAGGATTTGAGTCGGTACCTCAATGTGACACCTTCTGATGAAGTTATTTTTCTTATAATGAAGTTATTCTTGAGTTGGCTTCCTGCATCCCCACCAGGTTCCCTGTGGTTGACGGTCTTCCTGTGGTTGATGGTCTCCCTGTGCAGTGGGAGCGTGTGTGCCCCTAGATGGTGAGGCTCATTAAGAGAACTGACCTGGGCTGTTCCTACCCCTATGCAGGCGGCTGGGAGGAGCAGACTAGAGTGCCAGTAAGGGCCTGTGCATTCTCCCGTGTGCCCTGTATTTCACACGTGTGAGTAAATACAGGCACGTAAATTGTAAGCATTTAAAAGATGTGTTCAACAACACTGTCAGCATTGATATCCCTTTACTTCGCTGCTTTCCATTGTATCTTTTTTAAAAAAATATATTTTATTGATTTTTTTACAGAGAGGAAGGGTGGGGGATAGAGAGTTAGAGACTGCACACTCCCTACTGGGGATGTGCCCGCAGCCAAGGTAGTGCCCTTGACCGGAATCGAACCTGGGATTCTTCAGTCCGCAGGCCATCGCTCTAATCACTGAGCCAAACCGGTTAGGGTTTCTTTTATTGTATCTTGAAGGCCATACCATTTTACTCCAATACCATTAACATTAGCACAAGCCTCTAGCAATATCATGATTTCAAAATTGTTACACAAGAAAGGGAAATAGCTGTGAACCTGCTTAGTTCACACCGAGCGCACTTGCAAAGCACTTGTATTCTCAGTTCCTTATATGAAATTTGCACCTATACCTAGATACATTGCTCTGACCATTGCATTTTACTCTTTTAAGACCAAAAAAATAAAATGTTTAAGGAAAGTGGGTATCCAGTTAAGGTCCTTGGTTCGGAGCTGCTCCGCTTGAAAATCTAAAACGGACTGACAATAACACACGTCTGTCCAGAGGCTACATGGAAACATCAGCGTCTCCAGGGTGTTCTGGGACGCAGATGCAGCGGTGGGAGAGCGTGGGCCTCGTGGGTCCCGAGTGGGCGGCAGCGCGGCCATGCGCTCCCACCTCCCTGCGGGCGGCCACCGGCCAGACACACTTCCTGCGCCTGTCAGCAGCCGCGTCGGACCCAGCCGAGGGGAGGCCGGTGACCTCATCCAGCTCCCGCGGCGTCCCCGAGGCTAGCGAGGCCCCCTGGCGAGGACGCAGAGCCCCCGCTCCCCTGGGATCCCGAAGCGGCACGGCTGCTGGGGCCGGGGACCGCCGCTCCGCCCCGCCTCCCTCGCTGCCTAGGTGGGCTCGCCCGGCCCCAGATCCCAGCACCCGGCAAGAGCCGCGCAGGTACCATCGCACAACAGCAGTCCCTCACCTTCTCCTGGGTCCAGGCTGCGGCGCCCCGACTGATCCCCTCGGTTGCCAGGGGCAGGGCGGCCAGCAGCAGCAGGTGGAGGGCGCCCAGGACGCGCCAGTGCCCGCCGCCTGCCATCTCTCCAAGGCTATCTGCGCCCCGGTCCCTGCGCCGCCTGCGGTCACGGTCACGGTCACGAGCCTGGGAGCGCGCGTCCTTCGCCTTCCCTCTTCTCCACCCTGGGGTGGACTGCGCCCGCCCCCCCCATCTCCTCCCAGTCGCCTCCCCGCTGCGCTGCGCAGGCTGAAGCCGCAGCTCTCCTCTCCCTACCCCCACCTCCCCCATCCCGACCTTAGCAACCCCCGGGCCGGGCTGTTCTGGAAGGCTGGAGCTTCCGAATCCCAGGGAACGGAGACGGCTGCTTCCTTGTCTTGGGGAGGACGAGAAGGAAGGAAGAGACGGGGAGAGGCATTTTTATGATCTCCAGGGCCATCACAGGGAAGAGCAAGGGGAGCGAGGTTTCAGCAGACCCGGTGCGGTTATGAAGTGTCTTCCCACAGTTCTGTACCGGGCACTGTCCTGGGTGCTTGTCCCATGTCCCCTCATTTAGTCTTCATAAACATCATACTGATTTACAGATGTGCAAACTGAGACTCCCCGCCCTCCATACAAAGCCTGAACCCAGAGCCCATCTTACCTTTCCTCTTTTTTCTCACAAACACTTACCTTGCCAAACTGGGTAAAGTCTGGTTAAAGGGATTACCTGACATAAGCAAGATCTAAAATGTCCACCGTGGTTCTTTAGGCAGTCTCCTTCCGCAATGCAGCCCCTCAAAAGGTAGAGCTAAACACAACTGAATTTACTTTGTAGCATCAAAGATCACTGATCAAGATAATCCTGGAAAAAACAAAACAGTATCTCTACTTTGTGGGTGTCTGGTCTAAGTTGTCAGGACAATGACTGCACCATCCTCTTTTTCTTCCACAGTGAGGATGAGGGTGTGGCCTCTCCTGAGTCATCTCCTAGGAACATATAGATCCCAAAAAATACCACAACAGGACACGTTGAAACTTACCTGTTTCCCCGAGAGCAAATGTCTGAAGGTAATGGAGCCAGCCTTCTGGCTGACTTGGACTGTTTTCTAGGCTTGGCTGTTAGAATGAGTTTAAAAGAGAGGGCTGACCTGAGAAGACACTGCTCTGCCCTCCTCTGGAGCTACAGGGGAAGACAAGGACTTAAGTACCTATTTTCCTGATGTTCCGAATTACTAACCCTATTCATGGCCGAGAGTTTTGACGACAATTGGACCCTTCAAGCTTACGCAAAATTAAATAACTTCTTTATTACATTCACGGACAGTACAATATTCAGAACAAAACCACTATCATACGTCTCAAATACGTTTCCGGTCTTGTTGCCTAAACCAGTGGTTGGCAAACTGCGGCTCCTGAGCCACATGTGGCTCTTTGGCCCCTTGAGTGTGGCTCTTCCACAAAATACCGACTTCTGCGCATGGGCCACGAAGTTTCAATCCCACTGTATGTGCGCGCCCGCACGTGGTATTTTGTGGAAGAGCCACACTCAAGGGGCCAAAGAGCCGCATGTGGCTTGCGAGCCGCAGTTTGCCGACCACTGGCCTAGACCAACCTTGAAATAGTGGGTTTACTGGGAGTCTAGGTAACTAACCATCAGCCTAATCGTTTTTCTTACCCTATTACCTTTTTATCTTTCTACAATATGGTTCCTATTTTTGTAAAAAATGGGATGCAGAAATAGCAAAGCTATATGAAACAAGAGGTTAAAGATAATATCATGCTAAGTGTAAGCAATTCAAAATAAGAAATAAGGAAAAGCTTGAGTTAAAATGTTAACACATAACTTGATTTTCCATTCCTGAGGGTTCTCCAAGTTTGGTTGTATTTAAGTCAATAAGATGCGGTTGCAGTTTGGATCTACAGGAAGCAGACCAGGAGACAGAGTTTAGCATTCAGGATGTGTATTAGGGAGTGCCCCTGGGACAAACCCCTGAGGGAGGGGGCGGGAGGAACACGACTGAGCTGAGAGTAAATGTAGTGGGGAAGGGGGCCCCTCTCCACAGCCTCACCTAGCCCCATAGGGAGCCCAGGAGCTGAAATCGCCTGGCAGAGTTGCCCCACAGTGAGTCAGAATTGCTGGAGCTTTATACCCCCACTTCAATGGGGTACTTCCTGCAAGCAGCTCCCTGCAGCCAAAGGACTTGACAGCTAGAGGCTGTCTGCCAAGAACACTAACAGCAGGAACAGTCCCTCCCTGAAGGGGGATCTAAGCAGTGCATTCCTGTATCCACCACTAATGCATTTGTATAATGTATCTTGAACAGATCTAAAACATTTTGCATAAGAAGCTGATGTTAGTAAATGGTGTTTTACACATGTGGGCTTTCCTGACAACTTGCTGTAAATCTACAAACCCAATACAGCTCTCTATTTATGTATCCCTACTTTCTTTATTCATATCTTTTCTTGCGCCTTATATACTAAATGTCCTTCTCCCCTTTCCTTCACTCATTCTTCTCCCTCCCCCCCCCCCCCCAATCTGGAAACTGTCAGAAATTCCTGGTATCTACTTTTTTTTTTTTTTAATATCTGCTATTTTTTTCATTACTGCAAGTTTTCCACTCTTTAGACTCTTCCTGTAGAAGATAACCCATGACTATTACATTTAATTAAACAATTTGAGGCTGTTTTTCATCATTGCAAAAAATTTTGTTTATGCAAGGATAGCCCTAGTCACAGGTGGAGTCATCGTTTTTATTATAGTATAAACTCTATCCTGTTGGTTTGAAGCACATTAAGAACCCAACTGCTAAAAAAGATCTTCCCCATGCAGTTGCCTTGGCAGGATTTTCATACACTTGGTCCCACCTGTAAAGTGACACCAATGGACTAAAGCATTCATGACCAGAAACTTCTGTTAAAACAAGTTCTCAAAATGTGATCCATGGGCCCCCGGGGATTCTCCAAGACCCTTTTAGATGTCTGCAAGGTCAACTCAATTTTTATCATAATACCAAAGCAAGATTTCCCTTTTCTCACTGTATTAAGTTTGCACTAATATTGCAAAAGCAATGGCGGGTAAAACTCTCACATCTTGGCACTTACCAAGACAGGACACAAAAAGCTGTACTATTACAAAAAACAAAACTGTACTTGTAGTCATTGTATTCTTCACTGCCCTGCATGGCAAAGAAAAAGAGAGACAGAGAAAGAGGGAAAGAGGAAGAGAGAGAGAGAGAGAGAGAGAGAGAGAGAGAGAGAGAGAGAGAGAGAACAGTGTGATAAAAGAAAAGAAAAAGAACTAGTCTCACTTAAGAATATCATTGATGAAACAATAAAAATTGTGGTTATTATTAAATTTCAACTTTTGAGTACATTACATGTCTTTTTAACAGCTTTTTTGAGATATAATTAAACTTCATTAAACTGAACATATTTAAAGTATACAACCTGATGGGTTTTAACATGTTTACAACATAAAACCGTCAGCGCAATCAAGAGATTGAACATATCCATTTCTTACCCATGGGTTATTTAAATTGTGTTATTTAGTTTCCAAATCCTTATTTAGTTAAGGATTGCCCTGATATCTTTTTGTTATTGATTTCAAATTTAATTCTGTCATGGTCAGGGAACAGACTTGGTATGAATGAATCCTTAAAATTTTTTTTGAGAACTGTTTTATGACCCATAAAACTGCATATGACCCATCTTGGTAAATATTCCTTCTGTACATGAAAAAGGTGTGTATTCTTCTGTTATTGGATAGAATGCTTTATAAATGTCATTTAGATCTAGGTATTTGGTAATGTTCCCCAAATCCACCATATAATAATGGATTTTCTTTCTACCTGTCCTATTGATTACTACGACAGTGGTGTTAAAATCTCTGACTATAATTGTGGATTTGCCTATTTCTTTTGGTTCTATTAATTTTTACATAATGTATGTCTAAGCCTTCTTATTAAGTGCATAAATGTTTATGATTATAATTTCTTTTTGACACTTTTACCTCTTTATCATTATGAAGTAAACCTCTGTATACTTGGTAATATTCTTTGCTCTGAAATTTACTTTTTTCCTATTCTTAATATAGACATTTAACTTTTTTTAAATTAGCCTTAGCAAGGTATATTTTTTCCATCCTTGCCGGAGTCCAACCCCAGCAGGTCCAGGGGTCCCCAAAGGTGTAGACGGAGTCGGCGAAGAAGGAAGGACACGGAGACAGTGTTCAGTTGATCAGCAGCCTAGCCAGGATCTCCAGCCAGGATCTCCAGCCAAGTTCTGGTCTGGATCTCCAGAGAGGTTCTGCTGTTTATTGTCTTGTTACATCCGTATTTATACCAGTTGATTTTAATCCTGTCAATTTCTATTACAAAGGTTAGGGCGTTTCTTATCTCCATTCCAGGGAGTAAAGATTATGTAGCTTAAGCATGATTGTTTGTAAAGTGATTAACTACCCGCCTGGCACTTAGTTAAGGAGTTTCATCCCCTCCCTAACTTCAGGGAAAAATCCCTACCTGGGGAAACAACCTTTCTAGGAGAGGCATCCCCTCCCTGACTTCAGGGAAAAATTCCTACCTGGGGAAACAACCTTTCTTGGAGAGGTGACCTTGGTTAAAACACACAGCGCTAAGGGGAGCAAACATATTAAGAACAGTATGCTATATACGCCAGGTCCCTTGAAACATATGCTGTGCAGATGTTTCTTTCCTGCAGCGACTGTGTCAAGCAGCAAGGATGGACCGGCTTCCGGCACATCCTTTTTACTTTTAAACTGTTTTCTTATAATACATACAAAGTAGGTTTTTTGCCTGGCCAGTGTAGCTCAGTGGTTCAGCATATGATCGAGAAGGTCAATATTCGATTTTGGGTCAGGGTACATGCCCGGGGTTGCGGGCTCCATCCCCAGTGTGGGGTATGCAGGAGGCAGCCAATAGATGATCAATGATTCTCTCTCATCACTGATGTTTTTCTCTCCCTCCCTCTCCCTTCCTGAAATCAATAAAAATATACTTTTAAAAAATAAAGATGTTGCTCAAATGTCTTGTTGCTTACTTTGTTTCTGATAAGAAATTGACTGTCATCCTAATCTTTGTTCCTCTGCATGCAATGTGCCTCAGTCTGTCTTAAGATTTTTCTCTTTATCACAGTTTTTAAGCAATTTGACTACGATGTGCCTTGGTAGGGTTTTTTCTTTGTTTGTTTCTTTACATTCTTTTGCTTGGGGTTCATAAAGTTTCTTGGATCCATGGGTTTTAAGTTTTCATCAAATTTGGAAAAATTTTACCATTATTTCTTCAAATTTTTATTCCCCTTCCTTGAGGGATTCCAATTATATATAAACTAGAGGACCAGTGCACAACATTCGTGCACTGGGGGTGGGGGGGGGTCCCCTCAGCCCGGCCTGGGACCCCTCGGGGATGTCTGACTCCCCATGGCTCTAAGCTGGCAGGCAGACATCCCCCGAGGGGTTCTTAGCACTGCCGCAGAGGTGGGAGAAGCTCCCACTATCACCGCTGTGCTCCCCAGCAGTGAGCCCAGCTTTTAGCTGAGCGGCGCTCCTCCTATGAGAGTGCACTGACCACCAGGGGGCAGCTTGTGCGTTGAGCATCTGCCCCCAGTTATCAGTGCGTGTCATAGTGACCAGTCATTCCGCTGTTTGGTCTATTTGCATATTAGTCTTTTATTATATAGGACTAGAGGCCCGGTGCATGGATTTGTGCACCAGTGGGGCCTGGCCTGTGCCCTCTCACAAACCAGGACCCCTTGGGGGATGTTGGAGACCTGGTGCATGGATTTGGCCCAATCCCCACAGGCCAGGCCAAGGGATCCCACTGTTGCACAAATCTGTATACCGGG